TGCTATTTGGTCGTGACGAATGTAATGCGCTGCTAATGTGGCTGACTGGTATATTAAGCTTTTACCAAATCCTATAGAAAGAAGGGCAATAACATCTTTCCCCTTGATAAAAGTCAACAAACATTCTCTTTGTTCCGGCTTTAAATCCTCGATCTCAGGAATCATTGCCAACACAGAATGTATGGCTCTTTGCTGATTGGCTGGTGCCCAGACTCGCACTTCCGGGATTCTTGCAAACCGTCTAGTGTATTCCAATTCCTGACCAAATTTCTGGAGAGAAATGAAATTGAGTGGCGGCACTAGGTGGTGCCAACCTGGCTAGAACATTACAAGGAAAGTAATGACATCACCAAGGAGGCAAGCAGATGGGGGACCCTCCACCAGGAAAGTGACTTAGTGCACCTTTAAATAGAACATAAAATTAAAAATTTTAACACATTTTCACTGTTAAACTTTATGGCTATACATAAAGTTTAACAGTGAAAGTGTGTTACAATCAACAACCTTCCCTTGACTTTGTCTGGATAAACATGTTTAAATGACTGGGTGTTTGGTCTTACTAAGAGAGGTCATAAGTGCAGAACAGCTGCAATTGAACCCATCTTAATTGATAGATGCAATATGTAAATTTTTTCTGCTGTCTCCATGGAGATGATATTGCTTTGCCTGGAATGTTCTAGTATGGCATTAAACTTACCTCTTTAGCATTATGATTTTATTTAGTTGTTACAAAATCTAGTGGGGCCACCTCCTTGTCTCCAAGGAGATAGTTTAATGTCACACTGTGGAATATTAGAAAAGATAAATCGTGCACTTTAAAATTTGACTTTTAGATGCTATTTCTTTTGCTAACTGGTAACATTTTTGAAAGGCTGTATTTTGCAACTGTTAGCATCAAAACCAGGTCCAATTTGAAAAGGGCTTCCCATTGATCCATGTGAGTGTGCAGTGTGGTGTAGTGTGCTTTTAGCTCCCCTGGCCCCCTGCTCACATCCCCGTATGGATAATAAGTACTGTGATATCTGCAGAGCCACCAGATGGTACAAAATGTGGTTAGTTTGAAAATTGCACACGACAGCCTTTAAACCCCGTGCATATGGACTGGACTGTAGAATATAATGGGACAGCAGCAGCAGCAGCAGCAGCTATGTGTGCGTGTGTGTGTGTGTGTGCGTGAATGTATATGTGTGTGTTTTGACCTACCGAGTTATTTGATTAAACAAACAATCACTAGCCAGTATAAGAGTCATTGATTTTCCATGTCTGTGCGGTTAGGATTTCATATGATGCCAATTGAATGTGCTGTTAGCATTTAGATGAGTCCACACCAAGCATTCTAAATAGATCTTTAGAGAGAGTCCAATTGTTTTACTGAAATACAACAATCAAGAATTTACAAGTTTTGTATAGGCATATTTTTGTATTCATTCTAGTTTTGTTCCTGTCCAGCTGGTGCTTGAACTATGCTTGAACAACTATGACACTTAGGCTGTTTTTTTTCTCTCATTAATGTTACACTTTTGGTTCAAAAGTCTTTATGGACAGTGGGACTGAAGTCACAGACACTTGACATATAGAGGTTTACAGGTCAATTGGTAAAAGTGCCCCCCATCCATATTTTCAAGAGGTCTAAAGAGAGACTCCAAACATTCTTTTTAGCAATACTGTTGTACTGTAAGTGATTCTTATGATATTTTATTATTTAGTTAAATACTATGAATTCTCATTTATGTTCAAAATATATCTCAAATCCAAGTTACAAATCAAATATGTGGATATGAGACCAGTTGTGGTGAAAAGTTACATAGTGCCAGTGTAAACCCATATATTTTACTACAAATAAAAAGATGTAAATGCTATCTGTTTGAAATGAATATTCTCATGCTAGCCTAGTTTCACTTTCATTTTAAAGGTAAACCACTCTCATCTCTCTACAGTGTCAGATGAAGACAGAACCCCGTCAGTGTGAGAGCTGAGCAGTGGTGTGGAACTGTCCTCTGTAAGCACCTCCTCAGATTTATCATCCTCTAATCGCCCATGAAGCCATCACCCACGGGCCCATCCCTCAGCACCCAGCAGCACAACACCGGGAGTCACCTGCATGCCACATTATTTACACTCACAGCCAACATCTGGATATAAGAGTTTGTAAAATCTCACCAAACTCTACTTGAATAATTTCTGATCCCTCAGTCCTCTCAGTAGATGTTGCACTGATTTCAATCAAGTCCTGTGAGAAATCTAAACTAGCAATGGGACAATATCACCACTATGACAGACATGATAACAAGTCTTGAATTCGTGATTAAATTCAAATTAAAAATAACAGTTGTTTCCTTAGACATTAACCAACTAACTATGATTTAGATGGTAACTTACTAACTTATACTTAGGTTAAAGAAGGATTTTTGTTCACATGACTTCCTCTGAAAACTTTATTAGTACGAGCCACTTGCTTATATTCAATTATTTCAAATAGACTCTTACAAAAAATATTCAATTAATGTACGTAGTGATGTCTATTTCGCCCTCCTTGTCAACCTAACTTCAAGTTTTAGTTTCAGTACATTTCATATACCTGTATATTGTTGTCAACTTGTGATCCCAGTCTATATAAGAACACAAACAGACCAGTAGGTGGCGGTGTTTCACGTGTCATCGCTCTTTGTAAGCGGATCCCTAACATCTGTGAACCCCAGCCCCCTCTTTCTGTGCCATTCTCATTTCTCTCAGATAATGACTTCTATTTGAATCATGATCAGATTAATTTCATTCAGTCGATGGCATTGATATAAAATGCTGCAGGGACAAGAGGAGAGGGTGTGTGCAGGAAAGAAGGCAAACATCACAGCTGATCCGTCACATCAGATATCACCTCATTAATACCTTTAATGATGATTAAAAGTCTGGAAAATAAATAAATACAGCTGACAGAAGACCAAACAAATCACACATTACATTTGAGAACAGGGCTGTGTGGCTTGTCATAACAGATTTGCCTGTAACTCTATTTACTGGCTACATGTATCTTATGTCTGAATAAAAAAAATCCTCAAGCTACCACTGTTTGAATTGTCAATTACAATTCCCAGAATAAAAAGATTATGCCACTGCCAGTAGGAGACGCTATAGGTGGATGGTATGCATGTCTCACAAACTCAGGTGAGCAATTTACGCGCGAGTATAACATGCACAAACACGTGTTGTAGATATGGTAATGCGTTTTTATTTTATATTGTAACCATAAAACATTGCCTAGAGGTTCCAAACTCTACTTCAAAAAAACTTAAACATAAATTTGCGCAAGGTCCAGACCGATTGCGCTCCATTTTGACCAAAACCTTCTTGCTGCAAACCACTAGCTAATATACCTTGTAGCCAAAAAGAGAACAAGAGATTGCATTAGTTTCCTATGTTAGTTGATCTGCTATAAACTTAATAACTTCCTTTCTGTTTGTGGCCGTACACTTAAGCATGGCTTGATTGTGTTACTAGATCTTTCCGGTTGCTGTGAATGCCAATTATGTGGTTTTCTAAGTAGTCTGCTGGGTGTATTTTGACCTATAGGCTACCTCACATTTTTCTCTCTCAGCTTGACAGACTATACCACTAGCACCTCTGCTTGATCTCCCATCTCTCGTATCCATCTGACGTGCACGCTGCCATCGCCGCTGCCTGTCTGCCTCCTGCCTCTTCAGTCTGAGCCGGGGATGCTGAACAGTGGCGCAGCCTGCGTCCGTCCAACCCGGGACTAGAGCGTTTCCTCTCCGGACTCAACTGGAAGCTCCCGTCGGTCACCATGGGTCGCACTACGGGTCACCACGGAGGAGGAGCCGGTCCGGGACATCCACTTTAGCTCCGTGTTGGAACATCGACTTGGATCGTAAACGCGAGTCAAGCGTCGCTGATTTAAGACGCGCCTGTGGCTTTCCGTGCGCGATACTCTCCAAACTACGGATTTCGTTTTGCCCTCGCGGAAATGTGGAGTGCAACTTGTGGTTTTATTAGTACGGATTCGCAAGCGAGATGACAACTGAGTGAAGAATGGTGCCCAAGTAGCATTTAATAAACGCGTAAAGTGAAAATGAAAGCGTGCGATCTTAATCAGTGAGTCGCGCTCTGTCTGTTCAGTTCTGATTTGGACTTAAGTTTCACGTTTTTTCCTCGTTGTAAAAGTTTTTGCCTTGGAGGCGAGGGGGGATGGCAGCGCAGAGCTTGCCAAAATCCCACATGGAGTGTTTGAACGCGTTTGTGGACGAGAGGCGACTACTTTTGGGGTGAAAACGAGGAGGATGTGCGTCCAGATAGCGAAGTCCTGCAGCGGGAGGGGAGAGCAGAGGAACCACTGCTGCGTCCCGGGACCACAGGTGTTCTCCCTTAACAGTGACGGTCAGTGATTTTTTTTAAAGCAATAGTTTATATGAAGAAACATTAACTTGTAAGAGTAAATAAATAAGCTGCTAAAGAGTAAATATTGAACTGACCCCCCCTTTTTTAACCCTTTTTTTTTTTTTTTTTTACTGTAATCTTAACTGTTGGCAGGTATCTGTTGAGTTTGCAATGTTCAGTGCATTTAAAAATTACAGAAATTTTATTATCCTTCACAAAAGCTGACAATGAATGACAAATCTGACTTGGCGTTTTTAGTTATGCACATTTTAATTAAAATCATAACAACTGTGAATTAAATGTATGCCTGCAAGTAATATTCTGCATCCTAAGAAAATGACTAGTTTGAAAATTGCTGTTATGCTATTTTTCTTAGATTGTCAATAATTTCTTGAAATAATTTGTGTTTTTAGTGACTTCAATGCTCAAGATGCAGAGCTGTGGTTAGAGCGTCTGCCCTGTCCTCCCTTCGTTTCCTCTCTACTGCTTCCTGCCTCCTTGTCCTGTCTCCTCTCTTCTTCCTCCTGTCGTCTTCTCTCTCTCCTTCTCCCCTCGCTCCTGCTCCCCTCTGTCCCTGTACCCACCTCCAGCCCCCCTGGCCTGCAGCACACATGCAGGCCAAGAAGCGGTACCTGCTTGTGTCTGTGGGGGCCGGTCTTCTCTTCCTCCTTTACCTGTGGGCTCTGCAAGTCGGGGATTACCACCAGAACCAGCCAAACCAGTACCGCTATAACAGACACTTCTCCCAGTTCCCCCAGTATCCTCACCAGTACCAGCAGTATCAGGAGTACACCTACCATCAGCGAGGCGGAGTGGAAAGCGTGGAGGCGTTTCTGCCCGGGCCCCAGCCTCTGCCCCAGCGAAACCCCTCTCGACTGCCCCGACACTGGACTGGGACCACAGAGCCACTGGAGCCCTACCTGGAGGGGGGAGAGCAGGAGGTACTGTATATGTTATTTATGACATTTCACTGGTGAAAGAGAAGGTGATTGAGAAGTAATTGGAGAAAGAAAGTAGATCTGCAGGTCTGAAGAAAGGCTCTGACCCAATACATCACGTGTGGTATTATTTATATTAAAAAATGGGAGGTTGGAAATTGCTGTGCGGATTAGATTTCTTTCTCCAGATTTGCCTTTTTGAACACAGCATGCAGGCTCAGTAGTTTTGGATGTGCGTGTCTACATCCCCAATCATTCACATCACAACATAAAAGTTCATTTTTATTTTTATGTGGTAATATAATTGTCTTCATCAAACAATCTTCTTTTATCAATCATGCTTCTATGTAATATACTGTTTTGTTGTAAAGTATTTGTATATGTACACTATACATATGATGTTCACTTTCTTTAGTTATAATATATAAAAATCTGAATCTGAAATCCATAGACTGGAGCTGTGTGGTTGTCTAGAGGATAAAATCAGGCACTCAGGTTAAAAACATACGTGTTTCAGCCAATGCAGCCTTCATCATGGCACAAGGACAAACACTTCTCTATATATATTTTTGAGATTTTACCTTACAGACAACCACTTAAATACTTTCTAGTTAAAAAGAAGCTCTCTCCAAAGAGCACCTGTCTACAATACTGAGCTTTACATGTAGTCACGCAGCGCTTCTCATTATATTCTTTATGACATTATCTTACTTTGCTGTAAGATCTCGTGCTACAAGATCTCACGAGACAAAATTACCATGGGATTGTGCACACATACTGAAAATGATCTTGTGAGATTTGTTTTTTTATGTTTGGATTGGATTTCACACTGAAGAGGGAAATATTAAATAAAGTAAATATGTCAACTGGAATGCACAACTTTTTAAAAAATAATGTTAAAATGCCATTTTGTCTCATTCTTGTAGATAAAATCTCATGTTCCATCTCATTTTGTGGACAGTGCATCTATAAGTAATAAATGGTCACTTATTTTGTTGCAGGAGGACAGCCCACAGCTCCAGCACCAGCACACGTCTCCTCGCGAGCGCAGGGCCATCCGCGACAACATATACAGGAACAGGCGCTGCCGCATGGAGACCTGCTTCGACTACAGCCGCTGTCAGTCAGGCTTTAAAGTGTACATCTATCCCCCGCAGAGAGGGGACGAGATCTCAGAGACCTACCAGAAGATCCTGTCCGCCATCGAGGAGTCACGCTTCCACACCGCTGACCCCTCCAAGGCCTGTCTCTTCGTCCCATCTGTGGACACTCTGGACCGGGACCTGCTCTCCAGCCAGTATGTCCAAAACGCTCGCACTCGGATACAGAGCTTACCCATGTGGAACGACGGCAAGAACCACCTCATTTTCAATTTGTACTCAGGCACATGGCCGGACTACACAGAGGATTTGGGCTTTGAGGTGGGACAGGCCATGCTAGCCAAGGCCAGTGCCGATGTGGTCAACTTCAGACCCAACTTTGATATCTCCATCCCTTTATTCCCAAAGGAGCACCCGCTGAAGGGAGAGGCAGTGGGCTATGTGACTCTGAGCGACGCACCGCCATCCAGGAAGTACCTGCTGGTTTTTAAAGGGAAGCGCTACCTCACGGGGATCGGCTCCGAGACCAGGAACGCCCTTTACCACATCCACAACGGGGACGATATTATCCTGCTGACCACCTGTAAGCACGGCAAGGACTGGGAGAGGCACAAGGACACCCGCTGCGACCGAGATAATCAGCAGTACTCGAAGTAAGTCAGTTCATCACACTGCTTCTGCTACTATTACTACTATGACTAACTTCACGCTGCTTTCACAAAGTATAACAATGATTTGGGTCATTTTCTCATCTCTTGGAACCCATTGGTGGCCCATGTTAAGTCTGTTTTATTACATTCATTTGTGATCTTCATGCTTGTTTTTAGTACAATATATTGAGCATTAGAAAATAGTTTTAAATAGGACTAAACAAAAACAGCTTGAGTTGGGGCAAGATCTTTTGCCACAAAATTGCAAGATTGTGCACACATGAGGAAAATTATTGAGATTTTATCCCAAGTGCTGGTGAGTATCTCTAGCAGTGCTGGAATGACAACAAAAACATGAAAATAAAATAAGAAAAAATTGTGAGAACTGAATAGCACAATTTATGCGATGATGGGTTGATACGCAATTTCCGATGAAGAAATTGCGTATCATCCCATCCCTAATATCAACACGTATAAATACAGAAATCAATATAACTTTCAACATTTTATTTACTTGAAATTTAAGTTGAGATTCCATTTAGAGGTTTTATTTTGTGTATTTTGTGTACTTTGCAAATGCTTGTCAAAAAAACACA